AGTCAGTGTCGAATACATGAAAGTATTCACACTGGAGAGAAACCCTATGTATGTAAACAATGTGGGAAAGCATTCAGCACACTCAGTCACTGTCAAAGACATGAAAGTATTCACACGGGAGAGAAACCCTATGTATGTAAGCAATGTGGGAAAGCATTTAGCACTCTTAGTCACTGTCGAAGACATGAAAGTATTCACACGGGAGAAAAACCTTATGTATGTAAACAATGTGGAAAAGCATACACTACACAAAAATATTTTAAAAAACATGAACGAAGTCATACTGAGGAGAAACTTCATGTGTATCAGTAATGTGGGAAATCTTCAGCCAACAGGGTACTGGTCAAATGTGAAGGAATTCACACTTGGAAGAAACTGTATGCAAGTAATGTGGGCATTCTGTATACAAAAGTGCCATTAAATATGAAAGCAAGCAAGCACATTGGGGCAAACTGTAGGCATTGTGGGAAAACATTTGATGTAAGCTCTTCATTTTTTAGACATGATAGGACTCACTAGGGAGTAACTATGCAAGGAATGTGTGAAAAAATTTAGCTGATACAGCATCAAATAAATGAAGGAGGTCATACTGAGGAGAAAGCCTATGTAAGCAATGTGAGAAACCATTCAGTATACATGGTTATTGTCAACTGCATGGAAGAAGTCTGGGGAGAAAGGCTGTATATGTAAACCTATTTTGAAAATCCTGTGAAAATTGCTCACGTAGTGGAGACCTGTAGAAATTATTAATATGAAAATTTTGATGTCAATGTTTCTTCATTAATTTTCTAGAAAATACATTCTCAAATGGAGATGTCCTAAAGTGTATTCATTCTGTGTTTTTCAATAAAGCACTTGTAAATATCTGATCTATGTATCTGTGGTCTTTAGAATAAAAAAATATTGAGTTGACATAATTATATAATTTTGTGTATGCCAGTATCTTTGAGTATAACATAGTGTCTTCTAATTAAACAAGGTGTATTGAAGTATATTTTTCACCTCCAAGTATGGTTAGTATTATGTAGTATTTGTTTTGTTTTGTTTATACAGTTGGGAGAAGAGACCACTAAAAAGTAAATTTTGTTAATTGTTTTTTAATTGCTGGACTTGCCCACTAGATTTGATTTGAAATTTTTGTATATACACTCCATATTCTGTGTAACAGGGTATTTTTGAATTTCATGTTTATATTATATTTGATGGAGAGAGAGGCTTGTAAATGTGTTTTGACAAAGGTCAATTGTTTTCACACACCTTGTACATTAGCAATATTGTGTTTTTCATCCCCTAACAAAACACCTGCATGTATCCCAACGGAATTGTGTATCAAGTACATATTTTTGCCTACTTGCTTTCACGTTGGAGTCAATATTATGATTCACATGAAATTTTATGTCTTCTTGCCATCAAAATTTTACTTTTCATGCTTATACTATGATGATTCTTAATTTTGTGGTAATTTTTCCAACACCTCTACCAAAAAATAAACCATACTGCTGTGAGTTTCTGATTGCCACAGGTCAGCAAGAACATAACTTGTCTCTCAATAGAGATCATGAATTGTAGTACTAAATCTCTCCAAAAGGTATAAATGATGGAATGATTTATCACTAACAAAGTTATCAAAGGAATTTTTATTCACAGTGAAGTTGTTTAGGGAAGAATAATTATTGGACGTGATGAGCCAAATCCTTTATTCTGTGCCCTGATGCTGGCATTGACATTCTCTTTGGTAATTAACTAAGAAGATGAAATAATGTCATGAAGGAAAAAAAACAGTTTAATAAAAAGGAAATTTATTACTTTCTGATTCAGATTGTGTTCTGTTTTACCAATTTTAGCGATAAATTTATACAATGTCTTTTTTCATTATCCATAAGGAGCACTGTCTGCTGTTTGACGTATGTGCAAACATGTTAAAACACATAGATTTACCCAAGCTGTGAGCATGAGGCTCTGTTGGTCTCCTTGACCTGTATTTTGTCTTTCTTTTCAACAATGAAATATTTTGTAAAATATTTTATACAGTGTTTTAAAATACAAATGGTGCTCCATTTCTGATGGGGTTACATTGTGATAAACCTGTGGTAACATGAAAATATAAATGAGCAGAGGTTCCCATGACTATTAAAGGGGGGGAGTTCTTATACATCATTACTTATGAAGCAGAAAATTTATTTGCTTAAAGTGTCATTTGAAGGTACTTAAAACTGCATTGAAACTTTATTTACTGTACAGAGTTCTGGATGTATTTATCAAATAGAGAAACCACCCTCAAAAAAAAAAGAAAAAGAAAAAGAAAATATAACTGAGCAATGAATTAAATTCCCATAATGCAGTAAACATTATATAGCTTGCTCCAGGCTTAATCATGCTTAGACACATAAATTACCAGTGTGGTAGTATCATCTACAATTATGTCTACTTTATATCTGAAATATATGATGTAATTTATCGATTGCACTACAATCTATAAATTATATATATATGTATGTACACTGCAGAATACAGTGTCAATTTTTTGACCTAGAACATGTGGCTAAGTTTCCTGCTCACTTCTGCTTCTTCCCACCACAGGAAGATCTATAGTGTATACTGCTGTCACTATTCCAGCCAGTGATGGAATGATGAAAAGATAAGACATTTTATCCTGAGCACATTTACTATCCCATCATTTTACCATGAACAGAAATTCTTGCTGTTCCTGGCGATGCAGGCCTGTAATCCCACCAAGTCAGGAGGAAGACTTGGGCAGAAAATAAAATGGAGGCCAGCACAGGCAACTCAGTGACAACTTGTTTCATATATGAAAGTTCTGGAGATGTAGCTCAGTGCTTTAGTACGTCTAGGTTTACTCCACAGTATCAAAATTATTTTAATGTAAAACCATTACACATCAGTGTTTGTCTTTTAGTCACTTAACCTATAAAAGTCTAAGCCAGATATGATGGTGCATTCCTTCAGTCCCAGCATCAGGAGAGGCTGAGACAGGATGATCATGACTTTGAAGTCAGTGGGGGAAACTTGGCTAGTTGTCTTAGCAAACTGTAGCTATGTCTTTATATTAGCATTTTAAGTTTAAATAAGATATAAGTATAAGTTAAAACATAAACCTGTGATAGGTTAGAAAAAATTGCTATGGCAAATCATGATTTTGTTCCTCAGGAGATATTATTTTCATGGTAAATATTTGTACAGCAGTCATTTTTATGTTTGCATCATAGATTAAAATGTAAATAATGAAACCTGAGTAATCCAGGCATTCTATGTTCTGAACATAAAGACATGAAAAATTAGTTTTGTGAATACTTGTACTGGCAAAAGTTTTACCAGCTATTCCTCAGAGAAATAATATCTGGACTATATAAAGAACACAAAAATTATGAACCCCAAATAAAAGACCCAATTGAAAAACTGGCAAGGGTAATGAGTACACACTTCTCAGAAACTTTTCAGCATGAGCAGCCATTAGAAAAATGCAAATTTAAATATTATATTCCAGAAAGAACATCTATCATGAAGAACTGAAAACAGAACAAAAACCAAAACAGTCAAAAAAGACTCTTCAGTATATTCTATTTAATGTTAATAAATTAAACATGATATATATCTTGTTATGAAAGAGGGTTTATGTTAGATTATTTTTCTTGACTACAGGTTAACATAAAGATGATAAGCATGTTAATGTACTAAGGCCTTACCTATAATGATCATTAGATTGAGTATATTAAATGCATATTTATATATTTTATTGTATTTCAAATTTTTGGTGTAGTTCAAATATTTCACTTTGTAGCTCAAGGAACATCTGTAAGCACTTCAACTTCATTGAAATTGTGATGTGCATAACACCAGTCTCATAATATTCCCTTGTAGGTTCAGTGCTGTGTTATGTGGTCAGTGTAGTGCAGTGGAACACACGTAAATAGATGTATATAGGAGATTCTTTTTCTTTTCTCATTTTATGAAGGGATTTTTGATGTCCTTGTATAATCAGAGACTGGGTACTCACTCCTACCATGGATGCCTAAATGCTTAAACCTGGGAACAACTGTCTGCTCAAATGAAGAAGACAGAAGCCTCAGAACAAGAGGAGCCAATAATTCAACCATAGTTCAAGGGAGAAGGATTTGAAGCCCTATAAGTAACCATTAATAACAGTCAGAAGTCAAATAATGAACACTCTGGAGTCTGATGTTCTTGGATGATGACAGCACCAGAAATCACACCTTTTTAAGAAAATTCAAGTGTTCCAAAGTTTTTTTTTTTTTCATGTTTTTGACCCACTACTGTGCAGTCCTCTTGGATGTCACTACTTTTTCTCTGACAGTTGTTTTCCACTCAGATCAGTGACCCACATATCAATTTCTCTAGAAGGATCCACACAGACACACCCAGAAATGTGCTTTACCAGGCTCATGGCATGTCTCCATCAAGTCATGCTGATGACAAGATAAGCAATCACAAAAGCAAACAAAAAAAAAAGAAAAAGAAAAGTTTAAAGATTTAAAAATTTTATTAGTACATGTTTGCAGTATACACTGTTTACATTCATCTTTGGAAGGTGGTTTATGTATATAACTCATCTGAATTCTTTTTACTTGCCTTTCTCAAACACTCTCTACCTTTTCCATCCAATTCTTGCTCTTTCCATTTTTGAAAGATGCATCTCCCTATTTCCTGTTACATATCATTTATTTTTCTCATAAAAGCAAAAGTTAAACAATACCTCCTACAGTAAAGGAAATCATCTGCCAGTAGCAGCATCCTGAATATGTAAGTATACCCAGATTTCACCATACTTCCTAGGATTTTAAACAAAATCCACACAATATAATTCCCAGAAATAGAATCCTGAGTATTTGAAATGAGGTCACGTTGTGACTCCAGAAATGTAGAGCCATCAGTGTGCAGTTCAAGCATGTGATGATCTGAATTGTATGAGTTAAATGCAGGAAAACTGAACCACTGGATACACCTAACAAAAACTTTCATGAGGGATGCATGGGTTTGGGGGCACAACCACTGCTCCTGCTTGGTAGTTGGGGTGTGGCATCAGCTAAGACAATCATAGTCTTTCTTTACCCACATGTTCAAATTCTACCATTTTAATAGGGTCTAATGATATTAAAGAGTTCAGCAATGAAGACTGACAAAGTTTAAATCATATGCCATTCTCAGTAGCATGATAAAATCTAATGCCATTTTGCCCATCATTTATCTTTCTCTCATCACAAAGCTGTCATGTGATGTCACACAATGACAAGAAGTATGAGTGCAATAAAAGATGAAGAAGAGCTGGGTAGATTTAGCTCAGTGGTGCCACCGCTTGCCTCACAAGCACAAGGTCCTGAGTTCAATCCCCTGTACCAAGAAAAAAAAAAATAAAAAAATAAAAGATGCAGAGAAAGACAACACATTCACATGACAGTGACTACACCATGTTTTATTATAACTTTCAGTTGTAAGTACTCTTGTCAATCTTTGTATATAATTTTTGAAATTTTTTCATTAAAAAAATCATATTAGAAAAAATTTTCATATTATGTGTGAGATTTATTACTAGCCACTGTTGGAAACATACTGGGGACATGGAATTATATCCCTCTCAGATAAGGAGACAGTATATTTTAAAAATTAAAATAGGTACACAACACCTATTTGTCTGGCTTGTCACTAAAGAAAAAAGACAAGGCAGAAGTTGTCTGTGAAGAGACACATGATTGAACAACTTGCCAAAAGACAAGTAGTGTCTACAGTACCCAACATTTCTCTTGCACTCCCACACTTAAATGACACAGCTTTTCAAAAATGTTCTCTCTTTGCTTCAGCACAGTGCTTTTGAATCTGAATCACAGATGAATTTTTGAAAGGAAAATGCATTTTAAAAATATTTATGTTTTACTATAGAAGAGAATGAATGGGTAAGTGGTTATGACTTGCTGACTTGGTACCAACCTTGAGAAGGTCTGGGTCCCTATACTTTCTTTTTTAAAATTAATTTTATTGATACATTTTAGGTATACAATTTAATGACATTCATCATTGGAAAATTGTACCTTTATGTAATCTATCTTGGTTCTTATTTTTCTCCCCATTCCCCTGCCCTCTCTTTGTAATTTTTTTCATTTTCTCATATTAACTCCATTCTCTTCTTTCATTTCCCCTACCCCTCTGACTTCCCTTTCCCCTTTTCCCCATTTCTTCCTATTTCACCTT